GGCCTGAAAAATAGGCCAAAAACATACGGTAGGTACCTCCATCAATTGGATCCTGAAATGGCCACCATAGTTATTGGAGTTATAAACCAACTTAATCCAACTTAGCTATCTTGGGGGCCTCACATTGATAAAATAAACCATGATGAACCAGGCAAAAAGCTGGCCGAGCCCAAGTCGCCGCTCCAGCCGAGGTGTCGCGACTGGTGACGCTGTCGCCGTCCTGGATGGTGAAAATTTCCGGGATCCGAAAATCAGATGGATGAGAACTATAGGGGTAGCTCCACTGGCTTGGGTTGGTTTTGTTGGGAAAATCTTAACCGGAAACCCATGGGTTTTTACCATCAAATATAGGGCTTTCCTGTAAATTTTCCCATCATCCATTTCTATGATCCATGACTTAGTATGACTTAGTATGACTTAAAACACACCTCTGGGCATGAAAATGGATGAAACCAATCTCAGCGGAGATATAGTGGGTAGTAGATGATGGGAGATTTGACACGCAGTTGGGGTCTGTTTTATGGGTATGACTATGCTAATAATCCTCAAGGTGAAATAGAGCCCCTACAATTCTGGCTGTACTCACATTACTGACTTTTCAGAACTTCATGAAGACCTTCGGGAGGCTGTCGATACAACTGGTAGAGCCGACACTATGCAGGCTGCGGTGGGATGGGCGGTGGGCAGCACCACAAACCGCGGGTCCCGGCGTCCAAACGCCGCGGAGATTTTTTTTCAGCAGGCCCTCCTTGAGAATAGAAATCTGCAAGCCTCGATATCAGGTCACAAAGCTGAGAAGATGAATCTAATGTTAGATTTCTCATGTGTTGGGTGATTGCCCTTCCCAACAAGCAAACGGGGGGTTCAAGCCATTACAAAGTAGTCAAGTCGCCATTAGTCAAAACCCAAACCGAGATGATAAGAAACACCTGAAAACAACCAACGAAAAAGCGCGAAGATCCAAGCTCTCCCCAATCGAATTAACTGAAAATAGTAAACTTCACTTTTTTGCCACCAACCACCAAAGACATTGGATACTCCTGCTCCTTTAAACCACTTCTGCCAACCCTGCAAACTTGTGATTCAACTATATAACCAGAGAACGAAATTGAATCCAAAAATTCTGGGATGTCAGCGATGGTCGATATATCGCCCCAAATCTCCATGCTTGTTGCTGTATTGCAACTGACAGTCCAATGATATGTTGGATCGTCCAGGATCTCCACACTATCATCAGGATGACAGTATTCCATACACTGAAGACAACCAAATACCAGGGTTAAATAGGGCTAATACATCCACTATTGATCACATTATTGGGTTTCTAAACCAGGGGTAATCTTTCTATTATAAACCAATCACCTTCACTATCCACTCTTTCTGGAACAACCCAATACATAGAAAGATGACCACCCATTGCAAGTTGGTTTAGAAACCCATCTCGGAACCGTTCACGTGAACTAACTTCCGGCCTTATTATACCATTACGATCCATTATGACTGGAAGTTGGTAACTTGGTAAATCGGTAAGATTTAAGCTGGTAAATAGCATACAAATTTCAACAAATTACAATTTAGAAACAATATAATGCTTTGGTCTTTAGTCAATTGGATATCAATTACAAAGTGGTTAGGTTGTATACGCATTATATATACCACATATGAAGACAATTCGGGTCGGGTCATGTATATATTATATATATTGTATATTATATATATTATGTATCATCTAACTATTAGTACAGTTGTATTCAAAAAGTGTAACCATTAGACCCGTCCTGCGCATTCTTTGCACGTTCCGCCATCCACCTGGAAGAGGCGTGCTACAGGAGGCTACATATATCATTTGGGTAGAACTACTACAATTATGAGGTAAACGGTTGAACAGACCATTAAAAAACATGAGAAGACCATAAAATACCCATGAAATTGTGAGTACTTTGGAGGGTCGTTCAGGATTCATGCTGGAGATATCCGTCCGTTTATCAGGTCCGGTCGTCTGCTTTTTGGGGGATTTGCAATGTGGGATTCAACTGATTCAACTGATTCAACGAGCAATACGGCAACATCAAAACAAGAAAGTGTGAGATCTAACATGATTTAACCAGTTCAGCACATAGAAATTTCACGGCAACGAGTGCACCTAGCCACAGGTTAACTGCAATCTACATATCTTGTGTTTTTTTCCATATTCTAAGAGTAGTGAATTTTTGTATTCTGCTAAAAAGTTGAAGTGTCATCAACAAACATATTAGGATCCGACACATATGGGAATGTGGATTGAAACCGGATTCTGGGCATGTTGCCAGGTTGTTGATCTTGGCGTCCCAAGAGAACGTATGATTGTTTCTGATCATCTACGGATCCAGCCGGGGGTGCTGCAGGATGGGTTTCTGGAAGATCTATCGTTTTGGAGTTTCTATTTTTCAAATAGGCTTGATAAAGCCAGAAACATCACATTCTGGTTGGTGGTTTCCACCTACCCCTCTGAAAAATGATGGACTTTGTCAGTTGGGATGATGAAATTCCCAATATCCCATATGCTCCATGGTGCTGGAATATGAATCCAACCATTTACCCCATGTTTATGGCCCAGTTGTGTACGTACAGTAAATATACCAGCACCATGGTTCGCATATGGGTATATCAATATATGGACTAATATATATATATATATATGATTATATATGGAAAAATCCATTAAAATCCATTAAACCACTATAATCCATTAATCCCAACTGGATGGAAAGTCATAAAATTCCATGGTTCAACCACCAGACATGGATGATCCTCCCCGCATCAACGGGTCGATGACATGGCTGATGGGAGGATGAACAATGAACATGTAAAGAAGTGAAGCTCATGTTTCATACTGTATTTCATGACCTTTTTCTGGCATGTTCTTATTAATTGGGATTTAATTTATGTTTTTTATAAATTCAAAAAGATGTGTTTGGAATTTCAGACCTTATGTTCTCCCATGAAAACATGTTTGATTACAAATTTACAGGCTATCCCCCAATTTTTGGACAAAGCCAAGTTAGGTCATATGCTGTACCCTCTGGTTATGACTAACATAGCCATGGTATAGATGACCCATACAAATAGATGGTTTACCTGGGTTTACCTATTAAAAATGGTGATTTTCCATGGCTATGTTGAATAACCAGATGCATATATATATATATATAAACATATCCCTATTTAAGTGGCAAATGTTCTTAGTTACATATGGCAGCTGGTTAGTATACCTTGCTCATTGATGGCCAAAAAATCGTGTATTACTTTACCCAGTTGCAATTGGAGTATTTTTTCTAATCCCATCACCCATCACGACTTCCCCATTTCTATGGTCCCAATGATGTGGAATCTCCCATCCACCATGGTTTCGTTGAACGGGGGGCTGTTGAAAAAATGAACGGATCAGCCATTTTTCATCACCTGCCGATCTCCTATGATCCGCAAGGCCGAACCACCTGGCTTCCTTCACTTTTCCCAGTAGTTCCTCTGGAAAACAGAGATTTGATGAGTGCAGATGGGACAGTTTCCGGACAAAACTCGACATGAAGGAGTCCATGGATGTCCATGGATGTCCATGGTTTTTGCTCGTTATAGGTTAAAACTGGATATCATCATATAACCATCATATAACCATCATATAACCATTATATAACCATTGAAACCACCACCCAGTGTTAGTTCACTGGAGGCTATTCCCACCCAACTGCATCCCCCAGTGGCCAGATGTGGCCAGTCCTCTTTCTGCTTTTGGAGCTCACGCAGCTCAGCTTCCTGGCAGAGTCGCGTGGCTTTCGAGCGGGACCCTTTTTAAAAGGGACGCACAAAAGGTACAAAGGATAGGAAAGTATAGGTTTCTAGCTCAACTATGGTTAACTAGGTTATATATATATATATTATATCTGGTTGGTGGTTTCAACCCCTCTGAAAAATATTAGTCAGTTGGGATTATTGTTCCCAATCTATGGAAAAAAAATCATGTTCCAAACCACCAACCAGATATATACATATATATATACATTTATATAAGTTTATCCTGGATATGTGATAAATCTAGTCTTCGATGTGTCTTTCAACCAATTTATAACTTGGGGGGGCCTTTGGGAGTCTACTAGAACGGAAATTGCCAGTTTCACCTGCAAGTTTTTTTTTCGGACTCAAGGTGTACATGTATGTAAATTTGAGATTTGGGCTACCAAGAAATTCGGAGTTCGCAAAAATTACTAGAAATCACATCCATTTCCAGAGACACCTGGACGATCTTTAGATTTAACCACGGAAAGCCTGTCTTGACTCGCTCAAGTGGTACCTGTATTGTGATCCCTAGAAGGCTATAGGATTATCAATAGGACAATAGGATCATGGAATCCACATCCACTTTGTGTATCACAAGTCAATGGTTGGAAGCCATTGAAGCCATTCACAAAAGCGCAACTCTTTCATCATCCTATCGGTTTCCCGTTTCACCAATCCTACCGACTCGTACATTACCAACAAACGAACCTTAGATGCTCTGGAGGATATGAGGCATACCATGAACATGTTGCATAAACACAAATAAACCCATGAAATAACTCGCCGACCAAAGCAAGGTATAAGTCCTATCAGTTCCCATAGTTCCCCTACTGATCATTCTCCTTCAAGGGCATTCTCCAGGTGTTTTGTTGTGTTGTAATCATGAAGGCGATCTATTTTGTCCCCAGTTAAAGTTCAAGCCGCCGAACTACAGGGCTATAAACTGCTATAGCTATAATTATACATATTATTCCCAGAGGATCCATGTATGGCATATATGCTAACATTTGGGGTATATTGATGGGATCCATGTTACCATATATAGCAGCATACATGGATCCTATGGGATTGTATATTCTATATTATATATAATTACGCACCACCAGTATTGGTTTATACATGTTTATACCCCTTTCGAAATCGCTAGAACTGCTGCAAGCCCGGAGCAGCAGTGCATCCACCGGTGAATTTTTTTCAGCTCCACCAGTCTTCGGGCGGCGCAGAAAGGTAGCTCACAGCCAAGACATGATCCTGCCGAAGACGCGCTACGCTGGGAGCCACTGTCGCTACCCGGCCTGGTAAATGTTTACAGAAAAAGCTATTGAAGCCATGGCCCAGTCGAAATAGTGGATTTACCATGAAAAATGGTGATTTTCAATAGTTGGCATAGTTGGTCGCTGACCTGCCCCTCTGAAAAATGATGGACTTCGTCAGTTGGGATCATGAAATTCCCAACTGAATGGAAAAATACAATTCATGTTCCAAACCACCAACCAGGATTGGTTGATTCTGGGGCACTGTCGCCTTTTGCACCTGACCTGTGGAAAAAACATCACCAATTGGAAGGCGATTCCTCAAGAAGGGTCCAGAGATTCCTGAAACTTCGCCACATCTAAAGCCCTTTACCAGTTATAAGTCAGTTATACCACCATTTATGGAATGATAACCACAGGTATAACCATTTGTAATTGGCAAAAGGGCTTTAAATGCAGGGTTGGTTCCAAATTCCACGACAAACTCCACGGACCTTCTTTGCTGAAAGCAGCTCTCTTGGCACGCGCTGTGCTCTCCATTCCTCTCCGGTGTAGGCCCATTAGTCGCCATATCATACAGACTCACACACTATACATATATATATATGATAATGTAGTAACATAGTGCATTCTAATATTCTATAAATAATTGTCCTACGTTTTGGACATATCATCATATGTACATAGATGTAGATATTTATATATATATATATGAGTATGTATCACTGTATAGGTGTGGGGGATGGGGTGAACTAAGGAGAAGTTCCTATGCGAACTTCCAGTGTTGCTTGATTGTTCGCTAAATATGAGAAGTGGTCACCCAGATGAACATCCAAGGACCCCACTCCCAGACAATCTGGTTTCACCGTGCTAAATACGTCTCCTTTGAAGCTGTCATCCGCTTAAATCAGCATGAAACTAACCAAACATGTCCAAACAGCAACCAGCAAGTATTCCAGGAGATACGGTTTGTCATGTAGAGTCATCTAAAAATTTCTGAATGTTGTTCACCGTCACTTGTGTGAAGCATCACCTGTTATTTTGTGCAAAAATTGATGTCTGCAAACGGACCACCGTTTGATTCAATCAGCACATATTTGCTGCACAAGATGCTTTTGTCTACAGACCCATGACGGATCCGGCTGGTGCTGGTAGATTAATGCTAACATGACTGGGGTATATTGATGGGATCCATGGCACACCATATATAGCAGCACCATGGATCCGTCATGGGAGATGAGAATCATGTTTGACATTTTGGAGTTTCGCAATTCGCAAGTAGACACCCCTAGTCGCGCTACTAACGCTACTACGCAAAGCTCCAAATAGCTGCTGGTTGCTGGTTAATTTGGCTAATGTGTTTAATGTGGTTGATATGGTTCGATGTCGCTATCTGCCCATTTCGGCAGTTCAACGAAATTGATCTATACTGATGGGTGCGACACCGCTGATGGGAATCCTACTTGACTCATTCCTATCCATAGGATCCATGTATGCTATATATATATATATATGGTAACATGGATCCCAATATACCCCAGTCATGTTAGCATTAATCTACCAGCACCAGCCGGATCCTAATTATGGGTATCTGACTTCAACTGGTTTTCCCGTGGTGAGATCCAGTCCCCTTCCGTCCCAGTCCGTCCTCCACGTGGTCCTCGAAACCTAAGAGCTGGTCTTCTTTTTCCAGGCCGAAACAAAATCAACAAACCGAGTAGATTTTTCTCGCAACGAGCAACGTAGAAGGAGAACACCTGGCACCTAATATTTTGTGTAATATATATATATATATACATATCCCACTAACTGGTGATATACCCAATAATATAACTGGTGTTTTGTATAACTACTATAGTTTCTGGTTGGTGGTGAAAAAACCATCTTGAAAAATGATGGAGTTCGTCAATGGGTTTCGGATGACATCCCATATATGAAATGGAAAATCATCCAGTCATGTTTGAAACCACCAACCAGTATAGATCATCATCATATTCCCATTGTTGGTTTATAGCCTATTAACCGCTATTAACCACTATTAACCGCTATTAACCATCAAAAAAATACTGAACAAAGATCTGTGGCTCATGTCCGACTCATAACATGACTTCCCTGATCGAAAGCCGCTAAGAAGACCATGTCCAGATCAGGGATGTGAAGCGACGATGTCTTTTTTTTTGTGGGGTCCCATAGGAACGGGGGTCACAACAAGATATACAATGTGAGGCCCCCAAGATATGTTTGTTGGTTTATAAGTCCCAGTAACTATAGTTATAAATACCATAAACCATAGTTATTGGAGTTATAAACCAACTTAGCTATCTTGGGGGCCTCACATTGTAGGAAGCACTTCAATCATCCTCAATCTATAAGGATGGAATCACTGATTGAGTCTGGAGGACGGGCTCAAAACTGCTCCCCCAATATGGCTTTGTCTGGGGGTAATAGCAAAATTACCATTTTTATGGCTGATGTAAGCCAAAATATAGTTGGTTTGATGTACTTTATACAATGTGCTTTATGGTTTTGCTTTATTGACATTTTTATACATTTTCAATGAAACCTATGCCCTGTCTCCTCCACAATGCGTGCAGGCAACTCTGCTCCCTTTGCATCGCTAGCACCCGTCGCGGCGGCACGAGCGAAGCCGGCGCTGTCGCCGGCGCTGTCGCCGGCGGGGCGATCTCAGCGATCTCAGCGATCCGCGGCGAGGGGCCTTAGCCCGGGGTCTGTGATGATGTGTGCTACGAGGAATATAGATGGGTAATATAGAATATGGGATTTCAGAACTATGAAATGACAATATATGGCAACATCATACCCTAACAATCCATGTATGCAATATTTGCCTACGGACAAATGTCATCTCCCGGAGGCTACATTGCAATGTCGGTTCCCGGGGCCTACGGACGTGTTTATCGAAATATAATTTGTCAAAATTTATTGAAATCTCAGAATCTTATATAAAATATGATGTATTTCTGTTTATCAAACCCCCTAACCCACCATAGTGATATCCAAGTTGCTGAACTCCGGGTTCACTTCTTGCATCGCAGCCATTTGGCATGGATGGTCAAGAATGTTTCACCAATCTGATAGAGAAATTGAATAGTCAAATGAGCCGGAATCTCAATTTCAGTTTCTTAGTATGTATTTATACACCCAAGAGCCTTTCACATAGCCCAGGTCGCCCAAATGGATCATGAAGAGGGGTGTGATCCGTGGTCATCGCCCAAGGTCATTTTTTTGGGAAAAAACTAGATATAGTTTGATGGCATATGCGCGTGCTCAGGCCACTGGGGCAAGACCTCACGAAGAAAGGCATCAGATGATAATGGTGCGCCCCTTTCGTGCTTTGCACTCCTCAGGATATCTCAGGATCATATGAGGTGTTTTCAAAAGTAGATTCAAACCGGCCCTTGTGTGCTGAAACCTTTTTTTCCTCAGCGGCGTCTCTTGTTCAGAAGTGTAGATTGCCCCGCTGATTCCTCGGTGCGGGCTCATGGCAGCCAGAACCCCAGAAGTGGACAAATATACTGGGCAAGTTGGGAAGTAGGCCAAACATATAGTTGAGCATTTTGAATTCAACATAGTTCCCAGGAAGCCACCCCAGAAGTCTATGCTGGGATGCTTGAGGAGCTAAATGGTGATTTAGTTTTGCCTGCGTTCGTTTCACTTTTGAGTTGAAGTATACATATGAAAAACGAAATCTCAAAACATGATCAACAGCTACTTGCTGTTACATTTTATTTTTCATATGGGCACTTGAACTCAAATCGAAAAGAGTTTCCAAGTAGGATCGTGAGCTTGGTTTTCATTGGGCAGGACATGGTCAACAGCTACTTCCTTCACCAGGTAGACCTTCATGCCCTGCGCCAAGATCCAACTAAGTCCCTCTTTAATCTGACTGATTGTTTTGGGGCTGATTGTGCTCTGGCGTTGGAGCAGAATCATGTTTGGGTTATGGAGCTGTGCGCTACCCTTGCTGGAGCTGACCCATGGCCGCCACACAAGACCTTCAAGGCTGGGTTACGTCATGGAAAGAGAATTGCAACATGTTCCAACTTTGCATTTTTTTTCAGTTTAAATGGTGGTTGCTTCATGATGTCTCTCCATTCAGGGAATCTTCTACAAGAAGGCCATGCTGTATGGGGTCTTTGGTGAGGGAACGACAAAGAAGGCCATCAAGGAGACTAAGTGCTTCACAACGTTGTGTTTACAATATTTTGATTCATCTTTATGAACTGAGCTAGTCTTGCAGGATTGGGCATCGCAAACGGCTAGCTTTGCCCGCGCCCTGGGAGTCCATGGGGTCACTTTGTCCACCCGAAGCGCGTCCTCCAGGAACTGTTATTTCTTATTGACAGCAATCATCAAACAGCTGAAAAAGACACCCTCAAAAAATTACCCCTTTCAAGGGTAATTTTTTGGTGCCTTCACACCTAGGTACATTCCAAATATGTCTCGGCCTAGTTAAAAGTCTACTGCCGCAGGAGCTGGCAGATCCGATTGATCAAGCAATGCGTGCAGGCGTCACTTGCTGCAGGCCCGCTACATTAACTATTCCCAATACATGAGTTATGTGATACCATCTAAAATCATCACCGGTAGAGGTATGGCACACTGACAAACCCTGATTCGGAATAATTTTGTTTATGGCTTCAAACTTATACTCTTCTTGTTTGATCTTTCATATACCTAGACATGGGATGTCTCAAAAATGAGGTGCCCTTTTTGGGTTTCAAAAGTGTGCCTTAGGGGACAAAAAAGGACACCTCATTTTGAGGCATCCCCACATAAGTATTTTTTCCACAGTCCATGCCCTCTGGCCAGTTGCAGATCCAGATCATGAAGCTGACCCGGAAGACTTGCCGCAGAAACAGCTAGAGAAGATTCAGGACAACAAACGCGTAGTCTATCTGAATCAGTTCGCAATCTTGTATGGTTTGGTTATGGACTACATTTATAAATCACGAAAATGTTTGCGCAGAGGATGGGGATGGCTCCAGTTCTTCTACCTCCTCTGGATCTGAAGTGCTGGTTACATGTGAGGTGGGCTTCGGAGAGCTTCCCAAACCCGAGTAAAAGGGTTGTTGGGTTTTTGTTCACACCTATGAAATGATATTTCTTTGAAGCCCCAACAGGGTAAGACAATGCACTTTGAAACTAATATTATTTTGCTTTTTTCGATTGATGATTGATTGGATCTGATGTGAGAAAATCAATCTACTATATCAATCGTCCTGGCTAGTGGCAACCATGAGCACGAAAATGATGCAACAAAAAAACTTTGGGGGTTGCTCTTCCCAAATCTGTGACAGGTCATGGCCCCAAAGGAGTCGACGATGGAGATGCCTTGCCCGAAGGCCGAAAACTTTTGCACTTAATTTGTTCTTGGCTGGGGAACGCACTATCCAGTTGTATATAAAAAGGGTATATATACACCTATATATATATATGTTATATGTGTGTGTGTGGATGCATGTTGTTACTTTGGAGGCTGTTGCCCCGAAGGAATCAGAGATGCCCTGCATGAAGGCCAAAACAGTGTGTACTTAATATGATGCTGGTTTTTGGCTGATGAACAATCCAGTCATACTTATCCGTGTTGGTATGCACGTGTGGGTGCAGGCTGAAATTCAAAACAAGCCTGCAAAGCCTGAACTTGATGAGAAGCCTCCCCATGCCATAATCTCAGCCTGATTCCCTTGAGCATTCTTTTCTGACCGAACCTACTCCCCTGAACTTTAGGCTGATGAACCGTTGGCTGTTTGTGCCCAAGCTGCTTCTCGCCAAGCCCATAAGGAGACATGACTTTGGGTTGATTTTGGCTATGATTTTTGGCTAGGAAAACACATTAACTCATATTAAGTATTTTGTTTTTATATCTATAGAGATGTATAAAGAGAAACCTATACCCTGACCAGAGTTCAGAACCACAACTATATATATAATATATATCACCTACTTAAAGTGGAGTCAGGTTTATTAATCCGAATCCAGATTTAATCAAAAAATCATGTTCATAGAATTTCACATGGTTCATTGAATCACCGGCCGCCAGGAGAAGAAACCACTCCTCCCAACTGGCATCAACCTGGATGCATCACTTGAGGAGCAAGCCAAGGCTCTCTCCAGTGGCATGTTGGATCAGGGCGATGGTGGTGCAGCTGACCTTGCAAAGGCGCATAGCAAGGCTCGGAAACGAGCTGTTCCACGTGTGTGGTGCTTCACTGGAAATCAGGTAATTTTAGATCAAACACAGCATCATCAACAACAACAAAATATCCTCATGGAAATAAAGACTAACATGTTTTCAAAATCAGTATCTGAAAGTCAACTGGATTCATATAGATGTGATTCTCAAGATTGATTTTGGTAGATATTAGACTAGACCTCATACTGATACACACACACTATAAAATCAAGAAAAGAATATAAAAAGATTATCCTTGGATCTTGATATCAAAATATACATGTTACATATATATATATACATACTATTTGTATATCATGATATTCATGCACACACACATATATTAATATATACATAGCTTTGAGGCACCACTCACGCTCACAGGTCGCAGCTGCACTTCGGGGTGAAAAGCGCAGAGCTGAGACAGAAGCAGCGGATGGGAAACCACGGGCCAAATGCAAGGCAAAGGCCAAAGCTAAGGGAAAAAAAGCGAATGCTGGGACTGATGACAGTGTCCCCAAAGATACTCCGACGGACACACCAGGTGAGTCAGTTGAGGGTGGGGAAGTGGCAGCAGATCCTGCTGCAGATGGATCTGTTCCAGACAAACCCGACAAGCCGGATGCAGACCACCAGAAGCAAGTGCTGGCTGATTTGTGGGAGGAGAAGGACTGGTAGTAATTACCTGTCAGTATAACAACTTTATGGCAGAAGAACTGAATAATTATGACCTGTCCTGTTTTTTCACACGTGGATTTAGCTTTGTTTGTTCAGGAGCCTGTGCTGCGGGCTGCTGGCATCCCAATTCCTGATGGATATGTGCCAACGCGAAAGTCCTTTACTTTGTACTCACCAAATGGTAGTGGCAGCGCTTTGGGCATTTTGTCTGGGACTAAGCGGGTTCATATTTATATTTATATGGACAACTGTTGGAATCTACTTGTACAAAATAAAATCTTATCCTTAAAATTTAGTCCCTCCTTGGGCCCAGGTGGCAAGCTGGCCAAATCTACGTCAATGAGGCTGACCCGGTCCTGCCGGGATACAAGAAGAACGCCAAAGGAGGAGTCACCATTTCAGTTTTAAAAAGGGGTGGATGGGCAAATGCCTTCCCACATGCTAAGACCATGGGTGGCTGGAAGGGGTGTGCCGACAGCTGATTATTTTTCATGTGTGCTATTCCTGCATTATGTAAATATATATATATATATGTTTCAGGAATACCTCTCTACTGTGATCATATATATATATAATGCTTTGGGTGGCTGTGGCACACCGTGCAGCCATCGTGATTTAGGAACCTGCCGCTTTTGACATAGGCGCTTTGTACTTCACACTGATGTGCTGTTCACAGCCTACATACAACAGTGTGTGTTTCGCGCAGTTGCTGCATGGCAGAACGCATGGGGGAAAACGAAACTATCACGTGCCAATCCCAAGTGTCCTTGTTTTACTCATACCATTTCCCTCCAAAGCCATCCATAATCCATACCCAAAACACGCCAAATATAGTTATTTGG